TGATGCACATAGCGCCAGTTTTCACGTGATTGTAATATTAAAGCGTAAATCATTATTACACCCAGTCATGTTCATGTCAGAATACATCTGCATGAACTCGTGTGTCATCATATGTCGATGAGCACTCGATGTCATATGTTTATTTCTATGAAATATTGTGATGATTGGAAGTTATATGATTATTTACGAATTTTGTGACGTATTGAATTCTTGAGATATTGCAGGCTAGGGTAAGTATTTTCATACTATACGTAGTATGTATATTTTGGAAACTATAATTATATTTTGGAAACTATACTTGTTTTACAGCGATGGCTTATAATATTTTCGAAAAGGTTTTTATAAAACTTTATTTTTAGGCTCAGTAACCCTTGTTTTTCACCCTTCCAGGTTTTAATGCTGAGCTTTTATGTCTACGTGGATTCTTGGCAAATCGTGGTATAGGTGGTTGCCTTCGATGGTACAATTCTCATCCTACTTTATTGTACTTTACTTATGCTCTGACATCACGTGTGAAATGGGTTCATTCCTGCTTGCAAACACACTTTTATATTTAGGAACTTTTAAGTTTAAATTTATTCACATTTTCCACATCACTACACTTTATAGCTTCGTCACCATTCTGGTGTTGGCCAACACACCTCGATTCGGAGTCCAGGTGGGCATTCCGGGTCAAGGTTTGTAAGTTTGGTATCATAGCGTAAGTTTAGGCAGTATTGATTCATCACATGCGTGATGTAAGCATTCTTGGTTCTTTAACCTAAGTGTCGAATATTTCAACCTCGTCAAATATGAAAACGTGTTAGCATTCCCTAAGTTTTGGACATTTTAGACGACTTATCGATGTTCTAAAAGAACATTTCGATGACAACCTCTAGATTTTAAACAAGAACCTTACTGCCAAGGAAAATCCCAATTCAGGGACGAGTTTGTGGCCCTGAAGCAAGACTATTGTGTTGGTAATTGTGTACCACCAAAGACTTTACTAATCAATCCCATCACTATTCTCCAGTCATCATTACCAAACCTTTTGAAATAGGAAACCAAAATTTGTTTTGATTCTTGGCAGCACTTGTTCGTATACCACCTATTAGAATTCTTGTAAAAAAAAATAAAAAAGGGTTTGTGCGACGTAGGTGTTGCCGTCGCGCAAAGACCTTTTGTGCAACGTAGGAGCTGTCGTCATGCAAAGACCTTTTGAGCGACGCAGGTTCTTCCGTCTCGCAAAGTCTTTTTGCGCGACGCAGGTTGTCTCTTCGTCGCGCAAACCCTGCTTTCACCGCCTTTGTGTGACGGTTGGAGTGCAACGAAGATTTTGTTGGGCTAATTTTCAGGCAACGTTTTTTGTACTAGTGAAATATTTATTTTTGGTAGTGGTATTTATCATGCGCACACACGAATACATACGTATATAGGGAAGGATTCGACATCAAAGATTTTTTGACACATATATTGACACACAGGTTTGTAGAGTCCACTTTGTAATATATTTCATCCAACCATCTATCTTTTATGTCTTACCTCAAATATCATATCTTCCAAAAATCATCCAAATTCGAAGCCATATGACCATTGGATTAAATTCAGTGTTTCTTTTTAGAGTCGTAGTCGTCCATTTTCTTCACTTCAAATAAATGTTTTAAGACCAAATCCACCCTTGGACCAAACCAAATGCCACCTAAAGCCAAGACCTAAGCCTAAATTGGGTTTGGACCTAAATGAAAACCCAAATTTCAGTTCAGATTTGGTTGACCTAAATCTTGTGTAGGCCTTTTTTTTTCTTTAAATGTGGCTGAATATAAGAGTTAGTGGCTGACAGCTGAGCCACGATAGGGATCCCAAATATCCAACAGTAATTGTGGCCTTTTCAATTTCTGAATCGCTAGTTATCAACAATCCAGATCAAACCCTTCGAAATTTATCTATCGGTCCATATTTATTTTTGTCAAATCCAACAGTAAAAAAATGATCCAAACGACTAGAATTTAAATTCAACGGTCAAATAATAAAATACATGTTTGTATGTGCATTGAAGTTTGGTTGATTGGTGTGTGTGTTGAAGTTTGGTTGGTTGGTGTGATTTGCTCGGTTTTGGAAATTTTGTCAGAATTTAAGTTTTGTTAGGTTGAAACATTCATAAAAATTAAAATTAAGATAACATACCTCAAAGTTACACAAAAAAAAAAAAAAAAAAAAAAAAGCCTTTACCATAAAAGAAAAGGTTAAAACTTAAAACCATTCTACAACAATTACTATATTTTAGTTAAGTCTAGAGGGTTGGGAAACATTCAATGTTCACAAAGCTAAATTCTGTCTTTTAGTGAAGGGTTAACTACACTAACACCTATTCAAGTTTATCGTGTTTTTACAAAACAGTCTCACATTTGAAACATAATACTAACACTTTTTGAGGTTCTAATTCACTTTCACATAACCCATTTAGGGGTGACATCACCTTAAAATATTTTTATAAAGACAAATTTGCCTTCACTACCGCATTTACTCCACAAATATATCACATACCTCTTGTGCTGCACCTTAGCTTTCCCCACCTCGATAACGGACTCCACCAACTTAACTGCATTGTCTAACCTCCTCTTCGGATACAAAATGACCTTCTCTCTGTGGGTGATAGACATTCTGGGTGATAGACATTCTCTCTAAGAATAAGAGTTGTTTCTCTCCGTGAGTAAGAGCAACAACAAAGCCCAGATTTTCCTATAACCGCCGACCCTAATTTTGATTTGGGTTGGTGGCAGCCCGTTCTTCTTCATCTCTGCTTCCTCTTTCTTTTCTTTATGGTGTTTTCCCTGCTTTCCTTTTTTTTTTCCCTTAGCCTTTCCACTTCAGTAATCACTGATCTTCCGGCCTTCAGATCCTTTCATCCACTAATCCATCTACATGTCCTTCATCTGGCTTCCACCGATTCCATCTTCGTTCTGATATGTGATCACTTTTGACTACAAATTGTTGTAGTCCTTAACTCGGAAGGTGCGTAGAGTTCTGGTGTTCACACCGGCTCGGGTGACTACACCACTTCCTTCTCTCCATCTGCCTTTTTGGCAGTGTTGCTTGTGGTAATCCACATGCATTTTTGGTTTCTCTTACTTGGTGATTGCAATCGGTGTGGTGTTACTTGACGAAAGACGAAGTCTATTATCTTTTCGTAATTGCGGTGCTGGTTCTTGGCTTTAGTTGGTGGTGGTGATTCGTACTCGTTGTGGGGTGTTAATGACACTCTCATTGGCCGCGTTGGAAGAAAGCTGAATGGATTTACTTCGATGTTTTTTCTGTTTTGGGCTTTTAGGTTACTCTAGGGTCCATTCTTAACATGATTCACTTCCTCTCTAGCCGTTGCAACTCTGACAAGAAACTACTCCTTCATCTTGGTTATTCAATCAATTAGCCTCTTCACAAACTTGGCCTCACTTTTAACGAAATACTTTCAATACTATTCACTTTTAACGAAAAATACATTTTTACTCTAAAAAGTCATTTATGATACTATTCATTTACAACAACATTTTGTCCTTTTAATTAAAACTCAAAGTTTTCAATTTATTTTTATTTTCTTTCAAAAATATGAAAAGGCAATTCCAAGAATCTTCCTCACCAAATGCAAGTTCTTGTTGGAATCCTTGAATTTTTTTATGACGGTGTCCTTCCCAACGCCATTGTGACCACTGATGATGATGATTAGTGGTTGGGCCAGAGGGTCTCACATTTGTCCTTCTCTCTTCTTTGTGTCTGATATTTTAGTTCTCTCTCCTCTCTCTCTTCTTCCTTGTCGCATGCGATTGTTTTCAGGAAGAGGACTTAAAGATTTTGAATTTTTTTTCTATGATATTTATAGTGGTGAATCCTGATGTATGAGTAATGAAAAATCAAGTGGTTTAGGATTTGAATAAATCAAATACTAATTTTCTTCAAATAAAGTGGTATGCCTTCAAAGAAGGCCTGAGATCATGGAAAATAAAATGGGGTTTTTTATTTTTTATTTTTTATTTTAATTCTTGAAAATGGCCATTGAAGCTCTAAGAATTTGTCCGCTTGTCAGCAACCAATAATTAATTGATTCTTTCTTTGGGAAGCTTTTGAGGCCAAATTCAAGTTTTCATATGCTAAAATTTACCTCTAATTTGAGTACCAAAAACTGATTTGGGGATTAAACTTGAATCAAAATGAGGGAATCACATAAGAGGGATGAAGAAGACACAACTTTGACAGAAAAGAGAACTCAGAATCAGAAACGAAGAAGAGAGAAAGACGAAGAGAGAAGGACGGATGCGAGAAGAAAACTACAATTGATTCATAACCACATGATTTACTACGAACCGCTAGGATTAGCTAGTCCATAGGCTCCGCACGTAAGAGTACAGAGAAGATCCGAGTTCATGGTAGAGGAAGATGAAGACGAGATTTCTTCAATTTTCTTTTTATTTCTTTTTAATTGTTTGATGTAAGATTTAATTTTAATTTGGATTTGAATTTTATTTATTTATAAATGATTTTTTATTTTTAAAGTAATTAATAATGAGGGCAAAGTGGTCCTAAGGGGGTTATAAGAAAGTGAACTAAAATCTCAAGGGATGTCAATGTTATATTTCAAACATGAAGACGTTTTGCGACAACATGATAAATCTAACGGGCATTAGCGTAATAATCTTTTTAGAGGACGAAATATTTAGGTTTGGGTCTAAGGATTAGAGTTGATCTATCAGTTTTGGATTTTTCTAGCTTTTTACAATGATAATTTATAGATAATGAATTAAAATATAAACGATTCAGATTCTTAAAAAACAGCCATGAAATTAGAGCCACAAAATTTATGTCTAAATGTTACTCATGGCACACACATATACACGCATGTTACTTATGACACACAAATATACACGCACGTTCCTCATTGTATCTGCCTAAACACGTGCACAACCACCACCAATCCACCAGACTAGAAGGCTAAAAACTTTGTCATCCTAAACAATAACTTTATGCAAAGATAACCATCACTCATTTCTCTGCCTTTGACCCTTCGAAAATCCTTCTCCCCTAAATATTCCTTGTCTTAAAACATCAGTGCGGATAGCAACAGCTTTGACGGTAAGTAATCTTTTATTATCATTATTATTTTTATTTTTATTTTTTATTTATATAGCAATATAAATTCATATAAAGAGCAAAAGAACACTTCTTTAAAGCTGATTATTTTATTATGAAAGAAAAATTTACATGAAATCAGTTAATTCTTATACAAAATATGCGTTAAATTTTATAATATATTATCACATGTATATTTCTCTCCTTATAACAATATATTATTTAGGAAGGGAAAGAAGACGCTTGTTTCCCTTGCCACCACGAATAATTGAAAATAGTTTTTTATATTTTTTACCAAACAATAATTGAAAATAGTTTATTCACCTCACTTTTCTCCCACTATGCAGCCACCTTGTCCTGCTGAATACTTCCAGGCTTCCTAATGTACCAACTTGATCTGATACACCACCCTCAACCAGACTACCAAAAGCAATTTGAAACCCAAAAAACAAAATGAAATTTACTGGAGGCTTGTTCTATTTCTTTTCGCTCTCGGTTATCTTATTGTCTACCGCTTTAGTTGCAGCTCAGAGTTTCAAACCAGATGAAGAAGAAATCCAGAAATCTCAGTTCCCAGATGGCTTCTTGTTTGGAGCAAGCACTTCATCTTATCAGGTACCCCTCTTCTTCTTGTAGTTATTTTTTCTCTTTGCTCTACAACTATATATCTGAATGTTAAATTCGCTATTCAATTTCAATGTGATAATTAAGATTGAAGGTGCTTATCATGAAGATGGAAAGAGCCTAAGCAACTGGGATGTTTATGCTCACATTCCAGGTAATTAAACAAGAAAATTAGAGGGTAATTAGTTGCTACTCTTAATTTTGATATTCACCAAAGTAATGTCTTTATATGTATAAAGCACTTCAGGAAAAATAGAGGATAATGAGACTGGAGATGTTGCAGATGACCATTACCATCGCTACTTGGTATTCACCATACGTAATCAAACACAAAAACGTAATTATAAGCAGATTTATGACTTTTCGAAACTTATGTATGTACGTATGTATAGGAGGACATTGAGTGGATACATTCTCTGGGGATGAATGCATATCGGTTCTCCATTTCATGGGCTAGAATTCTACCTGGTATGTTGTTTTTATATTGTCTTTGTCTTAATTTGGATTATTCTGGTTAGTCTTGTGCTTCATACTTTTATTTGGTTGTATTAATCTGGGTTGCTTTATTACAAATGATTTGATCTTGAGCCAATTATAGACGGCAAACTCGGCAAAGTCAATCAAAGAGGGATCATATTTTATAATAAACTTATTGATCATCTTGTGAGCAAAGGTACCTAGCTAATTTTATCTTAAATATAAATTCCAATAAAATAAAATGAAATAGACACTAATGATTTGGAATTTGGATACACATTGCAGGAATAGAGCCATTTGTGACACTTCACCACAATGACATGCCCTATATACTAGATGCAAGAGATAGGGGTTGGCTTAGTCCACTCTTACGGTACGAAAATAAAACTATATATACACCATGCTTACTGACCATCTCATTTTAGTTCCATTTATACAACTGATTTAGTATGGTTATTAGTAAATGTAGTCCAAATGGCAGCACTCATTTGTGTCACTACTGTGACAATTAAGCTTATACTAGTTATTAAGGTTTTATTAATTTCATTGTTGTAGGGAAGAATTTGCACATTTTGCCTCCATATGCTTCAAGAGCTTTGGGGACAGGGTGAAGCACTGGATTACCTTCAATGAAGCCAATATGCTGGTTGATTTTACTTACATACAAGGAGTATACCCACCTGCTCGTTGCACGCCCCCTTTTGGGAATTGTTCAAGTGGCAATTCTGATGTAGAGCCTCTCATTGCAATGCACAACATTTTAATAGCTCATGCCATGGCGGTTGACATATATCGGAGGCTTTTTCAGGTATGTAAGTATTGCATATAACATGTTTATACTCTTGGCCTTAATTAGCTAGCCAAAGTTGAAAAAAAACATTACTACAAATTGAAACAGCCAAAACAACATGGGTTTGTCGGAATTATTGCACATTGTCACTGGTATGAACCTCTTCGAGACGATGAAAGGGACCTGCATGCTGTTGATAGAGTCTTAGCTTTCAATGCGGCCTGGTAAGTGATTCTTTTTTCGTTTATCAATTTGCTTAATTATCTGATGCAAGTGAATGTACGATATAGTCAGTATTCAATTCTAATTTATGTGCAAGGACTTTCGCCACAATAACATCTGCTGAATCCCCCAATTGGTCAGCTTCTTATTTTTGCTCGCATATATAATTGGAAGTCTTTCTGCGGTTGACAATTTGACATTTTCTGTTAATATATTGCATATTAACCATAGTATAATAGTAATGTGTAATAATTAAGAGTATAAAAATAGCATAAATATACTAGAATGGATGACTAAATTTTTTCTTCCCAAAAAGGGTGTTGGATCCTTTAGTGTATGGAGAATACCCCGCTGAAATGCGCCAATGCCCTCGCTTGGAAATGCCAAGGTTCTCCCCCAAAGAAAAAGAGCTGTTAAGAGGCAGCATAGATTTCATCGGACTCAACCACTATACAACACTATATGCCAAGGACTGTTTCCACTCCCCTTGCCCCTCAGGCGGAGACCATGCCATTAGAGGTTACGTCAACACAACTGGGTATCGGGATGGCACTGCGATTGGAGAACTGGTACATAAAACATTTAGTATTAATTAGTAATCTAACATGTTATGCTATTTCACGGTCAATTTTCGTTTGATTATTGGTCCAAATTGGTACATTAACAAGCTCATCTTGTTTTGTCTTTCCTAGACTGGAGTTGCTAGGTTTTTTGTTGTTCCAAGAGGCATGGAGAAGATTATAGACTATCTTAAGCAAAGATACAATAACCTGCCCATGTTTGTTACTGAAAATGGTAAGTGAATGGCCACACCTTGGTTGCTTTAATTGATGGATAGCTGGCCGCGTAGAATCATTTTTTTCTCCAAATGTGGCAGGATACTCCTCACCGACACCACAGAATGAGCTACAAGACTGGAATCGGATCAAGTTTCACAAAGGCTACCTAGCTTTTTTAGCCAAAGCAATAAGGTGAGCCAATGAGTTACCCTCCGATAACAATGATACGGCGTTGAGTTATCTCGAATGCATGGGAAAATTTGGAGTCAAATGAATTTAACAATCTGAATTTGACTCAATTCCTCTCTAATGCGCAAAAATATTTAATAGTTAAAAAAAAATCCAACATATATATATATATATATATATATATATATATATATATGAAATCAAACACACTTAATTTCATTTTTCTTTTGTCCATCTAAAATTTCTAACAAACTATCTGTACAATTTCCCATTTTTTGTTTGTTTTTATTTCACAGGAATGGTGCTGATGTACGTGGCTATTTCATTTGGAGCTTGATGGATAATTTTGAATGGCTTAGTGGGTATGAAACAAAATTTGGTATAGTTTATGTTGATCGTAATAAAACGCTGGGGCGAACTCCAAAGCCTTCTGCAAGGTGGTTTAGTAGTTTCATCAGAAACAATAGTCACAATGAGGAAGAAATTAGTGCAGCTTCTTCAGGTCACTCCAACAAAAATACACTATTTAGCCAATTGCAACCGAAGGTTGCTGAAATGTAGTTAATACCAAAATGTGCATACTTTACCTCAATTTGCTGCTCACGCTTTGCATGTTTCTCTGTTCTATTCGGAGGCATGCATATTGATTATTTCTTTAAATAAATGTTATAATAAAGGGTTGTATTCAATTAAGAATTTATATGATTTCGAAAGAGATATAAATTTAATGGAGTTCCATATATAGTCTCCATATGAATTATAGATGGATTCAATAATAAGGCGAAGATGCCTGATTTTCTAAAGCCTAGAAACCATTGTAATATCTCTCTAAATTCCTTAAAGTCCTACATATTTTAAAATACTTTAAAATCAAATTCTAATTAAATACATATGGAGTTATGTGAATTACTTTAAAATCTGGAATGAATACACTCAGATTTTTATAGAGTTTTATAAACTATTTTAAAATCACGATTCAATACCCATGAACTTCTGTGAATTCATTTAAAATCTTGATTGAATACATATAGATTTGTAAACTCTTTTAAATACATTTAAACTCCTAATTAGGTAGAAAAATCGACTTAGTGAGTAACTAACTTCATTTTTTTTTTTGTCAAACAATAGATTTGACAAATTAAAAATGTAAGATTAGATAGCTAATTAGGTTTGAACTCACGTTGTGGTGCAATGACAATGCTCATCTCCACTACTATGTTAAAGGGCACTTGCGAGTAACCTCCTCCCTTCAATGGAAAGTGATCCTCTCCAGATCCCTTTCCACCTAATCCATCTAGTCTGGGATTCATGCAGTTGGAATTTGATCCAACGACTATAGTTATTATTACTTTTAAAGGGACATCCTGTTTGAAGCCGTTTGATCAAATTTCAACGGCCCGGATCCTTTTCCCCCTTCAATATATACAAATGAATATACTTGAGTATAGTTTTACTATCACTTTGCCTTTTCACCTAAAATGGGTCATTTGAAAGATTGATGTTACTTCGGCCATTGACGCTAATTTCAATCAAGGAGTCTATTGTATTAAATCAAGGCGAAGATTATACATTAATTAGTTTATGTTATTGACAGTCACAATAGTCCCTGGTCATGATTAATCATTGAAATAAATAAAATAATAAATAAATAGATAAAACTGAATGTTTTAAAAATATTGTATGAAGTGGTAATTGAACACAAATTTGAAAGTACAAAATATATTTTATTCAAAAATTTATTAATTGTTTGGCCATGTGTCACAAGTTGGTAATCATGTTATCACAAATGTAGAATCTACTTTAGCATATCATCATTTTAATAAAGATGTTATATGAGATTGTAATTGAATTCAAACTTAAGATGTTAAAATGTTAAATCCACATAGTGCTATTTAATTAGTATATCACACACACACACACACACACACATATATATGCCATGTGTATATGACAGCTATATATATATGCCATATCAACACATAAACTGAATAATTGACCAAATCTTATTGGAAGAATCAAATTTGTGTCCATTAGTAAATAAGGACGTTATTAATTGGTTTTGAAATTGAAAGACCAAAATAAGGAGCTATGTTAATATTAAAAGTCATATGTGATAAAACCCTTCTAATTCTAGTTTCATTACCTCATTCTCCCTTGTCACTTAAAGCATCTCTAAAGAACTAGACAAATATCTTTTTTTTGTTTTTTTGTTTTTTTTGATAAAATACAATATGGTTTCATTAAATGCCAGGAATAGACTAATCAGTACAAGGAATTGGGAGATCATCCTTAATTAAATCACAAATCAATGAGGTTTCATCAAACCAAGTACAATTACCACCGTGGAGGGCAAAACGAGCAAGCCTATGGGCAACAGAGTCAGCTTGACGGCGAACATGGGACACAGTAGCTTCAGTGACCAAGTGCAATAAGGATTTGGCATCTTTGATGATAGGTCCAGTAGTAGACACATTCAAAGAAGACTCATTTAAAACAAAAATGATCTGAAGTGAATCACTTTCCAACGAAATATTTTGTAAATCCCTTTTGATCGCCATCAAAAGACATTATCTAATTGTGAGTGCTTTAATGTGAATAAGAGAGAAAATGTCTCCAAATCTCCTACTTGTAGCAGCCACACAAGTTCCATTTCAATCCCGGTTAACAACCCCACACCTCCCAGATTTGTCTCCTTACACCAGGCACCATCCACGTAAGTTTAAGCCTTCCAGGTGAAGAACATGACCATTTCAAAATGGGGACATGCCTTTGGGGCAGAGGAGGCTTGAAGTTGAGCCTAAGGAACTCCTGCCACCAATCAAAGGCGCGTCACACAACAACACTTGGAGAAGGAGAGGTTGCATCCCCCCAAAGCTTGAGATTTCTAGCATTCCAGATTGCCCAAAGTATGACCAGAATGCACTCAAAATCTGACGATCTAACTTCATTAACCATTGCTAGGGCCTACTTATTCAGAGATCTACTATAATGCTACCCATTTTTTAGCCCCAACGGAGATGCGAGCCAAGTACACCTCATGAATGGGCACTCGACCATGATATGCTAAACCATCTCAAATGCCGCCCCACAGAGAATAGAAGTAGGATCCAACGGGACATGCGGTTTATGAAGAGTATTGCTCATGGTAATAATGGTGGAGATAATTCTCCAAGCCGTCATTTTCACTTTGGGAGAGACATTGGCCTTCCAAAGAGAATCCCACAACATCGAGAATTGAGAAACTGAGCCCGCGAGGAAGCGAAGAAAGCAGAGGGGAGGATCCAATTACGAGCAACATGATAAGCACTTTTAACTGTGAATAGACCCCGGTTGTCATAATGCCAAATTAATCGGTCATTAGTTCTTCGAATGCTCAACGAAATGGATCGAATTGCATCCTTCTCCTTTACTAAAATTGATGAACCAAGAACCTCCAATTTCCATCTAGCATCATCAATAAGCTTACTGACCATATGCACATTACAATGCTGCAGACGGTTTAGGGGAAAACAATGGAAAAGTGGATTGTAGAGGTAGCCATCTATCACCCCACACCCTTACCAAGGTATCATCACCTATTTGCCACCTGGAACCCCGCAAGATAACTTCTTTAGCAGCACACATGCTACGCTATGCATAGGATGCATTAGATCGAACACTCGCCTTAAGGAAGGATGAAGGAGGAATGAGGGAAATATTTTGCCTTTAACACCGATGCCACCAGAGAAGTGGGCTCCTGGATGACCCTTCACCCCTGTTTGGCCAGAAGTCCAAGATTAAAAGTGTATAAGTTACGAAACCCAAGGCCTCTCTCGTTTTTGGGCAAGCACAACTTATTCCAAGCCATTCAATGGATTTTCCTAGAGTTCTCAGACTCATTCTACCAATAAGAAGCAACTAATTGGTTTAGTTTGTCATGGAAATACTTGGGCAATAAATAACAACTCATAGAATAAAGTAGGATTGACTGTGCCATTACTTTGACTAGTAATTCCTTCCCCACTACATTGATTGTTTTACCTTTCCACCCCTGCAGTTTCTTCCATACCCTTTCTTTGATGTGGATAAAATATGCTCCTTTGTTTCCACCGACGAAGGTAGGGAGCCCCAAGTACTTCTCATGTCAATCCACTCTTACAACCCCAAGCACCAAAGCTAGAAACTCCTGATCAGAACTCTTAATATTTCTACTAAAATAGATCGCACTCTTTTGGAAGTTCACTTGTTGCCTCGAGACTCATTCGAAACACCCTAGAATCTCTTTCACTATCTCACAGTCTTGTCATGTAGCACGAGCAAAGATGAAACTGTCATCGACGAAAAGTAGGTGATGAATGGAAGGAACTCCATGGCAAACATAAACCCCTTGGATAACACCCCCTGGGTACTTGGAAGCAATAAGAGCAGAGAGTCCCTCGGCGCAAAGAAGGAACATGTAGGGGAAATGAGGTCTCCTTGCCTTTCCAAACTGTAGGAAAAAAAGAGTAAATTAAGATCAAGTAAGTATAGTTCGGGATACTCTCTCTGAGTTTGACATAATTTCAAAAAGAACCAACAATGTTACAACTCAAAAAGTTCCGCATACCAATTCCTTAAACAAACTTCTGAAACATCATCTTTGACAAAAAAAATGGATTTTCTTGACTTCAATCTTTTGAGGCTCTTGCTGCTGATGAAAGAAAAAGAATTTTGGCACAATATGCTTGGTGTTGTCTCATTTGATGTATCCCTTCTTAAGTTGTTCGAGACATGCCGCGTTATCATCATAAATCATTGTATGGACGTCAATGATGAAAGAAAGTTCGCAAGTGCTTCGAATGTGTTCCACAACCGCTCTTAGCCAAAAGCATTCTTGAGTAGCTTCATGTAGGGGGAGAATCTCAGCATGGTTTAAAGAAGTGGCAACTAATGTTAGTTTGGTTGACCTCCAAGATATTGATGTATCTCTAACAATTAAAAAAAAAAGTAACTCGTTTGAGAGCACCCCATGTGCGGGGTAGGTAAGTACCATGTGCCAGCATAACAAACAAGATGGGAATCGACTCGAGAATCGAGAAGGGCTGCGGCACATCTCAAGGATTCGTAGGGATAGAACAAACCCAAATTCGTCGTACCTTTAAGGTATCAGAATATGTCTTTAACACCTGTCCAATGTCTACATGGGGGCGCATTGTTGTATCGCCAAAAAATTGATAACGAAGGATATGTCAGGTCTAGTGCAATAAGCTAAGTACAATAAAGAGCCAATCACGCTTAGATATGGAACTTCGGGTTCCAAAATATTTTCTTCATCCTCCTCAGGACAGCAGGGATCTCGTTTAGCATCTAGCGATTGAACGACCATAGAAGCACTTAAAGGCTTCACTTTATCTTCATTAAAACAACCCAACACCTTATGGGTGTAATTGGACTGCTGTACTAAGATTCCATCCGAATAATGCTCGATCCCCAAGTCGAGACAATATCAAGATTTCCCAAGATCTTTCATCTCAAATTCTGATTTCAGGTGAGTAGTAGTTTTCTCAAGCTCTATAGGAACCCTGATGAGATTCATGTCGTCGACATAAACTGCAACGATCGCAAACCCTAAATGTGACTTCTTAATAAACACACATGGGCATAGTTCATTGTTCACATATCCTTAACTGATCAAATACTCACTCAAACTATTATACCACATTTGCTTGGATTGCTTTAATCCGTAGAGTGAACACCTAAATCGATATAGATGGTGTTTTGT